TGATGGCAATCTCCTGGGCGAGGATGTCGATGTCTTCCCAGTTGAGCAGCCCGTCATGGGCGGCTTGCTCGAGGAAACCGGTTTGCACCATGCCGGCAGCAGCATCGCCAGACAGCACGGCATCAAGCACACGCTCGTGTGTGCCCTGGAACTGGATCTGTGTGTTTGAGTTGGGGCAGATGTTGCAGTGTGGTGCGGTGTTGGTGTGAGACAGGAGTGAGACAGGAGACAAGCCAGGAGGCCAATGTGCACAGGATTGCACCACACACACACACATCAACACACACACACACACACACACACACACACACACACACACACACACACACACACACACACACACACACACACACACACACGAACCGCACCTCGGCTGCGTCGTCGATGAGGTCAGTGCCAATCTTGCTGCGGTACTTGGCAAAGTTGGCGTGCGTGCTCGCAAAGTCCGTGATGGTGGTGCCGGCGATGACCTGGTCCTTGAGGTCAGACAGTGAGACAATACGGGAGTCGCGCGTGGTGAACATCACACCGCCAACGGTGTCCACAAACTTGACCTCGTCTCCTGAGTCGCCAGCGGCTGTGTAACGCAGTGAAGGTATTGCAAGAGGGGTGGAGAGTGGTAAGTTGGTCACCTTCGCGAGAAATCAAGCTGTTCGTGCGGTTGAGCAGTTTCTCAAGCGGTTGACGACGTGACACTCGCTCAGAGAGGCAAACATCTGACACTTGCTCAGAGAGGCAAACGCAGACACACACAGACACACACACACACACATGCACACACACACAGACACACACACACACACACACACACACACACACACACGCGCGCGCGCGCGCGCGCAGACACACAGGCACAGGCACACACACACCTGTGACGACGAGGGAGGCCAAAGCCGTTGAGAGGGGCGAATCCTTGTTCGACGTCGAGGCAAGACATGGTCTTGGTGTCGACGAGTGCATACTCCAGGGTGTCGACCTGATCCAGCAGCTCCAGTTCCGACATGCGGTGAAAGGCAAAGAGGCCGGGGATAACAGCGTTCAGGAAGTTCTCGTAGGCATCACATGCCTCTGGTGACACGGAAAATGCAAGCAAGTGTGCGTGTGTGGTGATGTGACAACGCCCAAGTCGTGGAGTTGTGGGTTCGCGAACAAGCAAGTGGAAGTGACGCAGCGACAGCGACACGCTGCAGGGGTGGGAAGGAAACCAACAAGCAAGCAAGAACACCGATGTGTTCGCACGTACACCTTTGCACGCGCACAGCCACGCACAAACACATGGAACCCACCTGGGTGAAGTGGGGAGAGGACGCAGCCGATTTGGATGCGGTACGCGGCAGGGACCGCTGTGCCGTTCTGTTGTGCCGTGACCGGTGAGGCCGCAGTGAGGGCCGTGGCGAGCACGATCATCAGGAAGTGCAGCATGGATGCGGTGGATGTGTGTGCCATCATGTTTTGCCCGCTCTTCTTCTTGTGGAAGAGGTTGTCGTTGGCAAGAGTTGCTTGGTTGCTGTAGCCGGTATTGGGTAATTGTGGGTGATTGTCCTCACTGTGTGAGTGTGTGCTGGAGTGTGACTTCCGATGGGTGTCGAGGTGGTTGGAAAAATGTCAAAGCGCCAATGTGGGTTCGCGAACAAGCAAGTGGAAGTGACGCAGCGACAGCGACACGCTGCAGGGGTGGGAAGGAAACCAACAAGCAAGCAAGAACACCGATGTGTTCGCACGTACACCTTTGCACGCGCACAGCCACGCACAAACACATGGAACCCACCTGGGTGAAGTGGGGAGAGGACGCAGCCGATTTGGATGCGGTACGCGGCAGGGACCGCTGTGCCGTTCTGTTGTGCCGTGACCGGTGAGGCCGCAGTGAGGGCCGTGGCGAGCACGATCATCAGGAAGTGCAGCATGGATGCGGTGGATGTGTGTGCCATCATGTTTTGCCCGCTCTTCTTCTTGTGGAAGAGGTTGTCGTTGGCAAGAGTTGCTTGGTTGCTGTAGCCGGTATTGGGTAATTGTGGGTGATTGTCCTCACTGTGTGAGTGTGTGCTGGAGTGTGACTTCCGATGGGTGTCGAGGTGGTTGGAAAAATGTCAAAGCGCCAACCACCCACCAACCATCTCCCGCCTCCCTCTTGCGGTTGGCAGCCACACAACCACACACACACACACACACACACACACACACACACACACATCCTACACGTCGCCATGACTTTCGTTCCAGCCACTGGACACGCAGCAAGGAGACAACAAAGGGAAAAACACCTTTTCCATGCGAAAAAGTTGTTGTCAGGGTCGGTTGAGCTTGGGGGTTGTCAGGGTTGGCGCTTTGGCCCACTGCAACACGTCTCAACATGTGTTCGTTCCCTGCGTTGCCTTGATGGCAAGGGGGCGGGCAAGGGAAGGTCCGTCAGTGGACGATGAGCGAGAGCGTGGAGTGGAAGAGTGCAATGTGGACGGGTTGCCAGAAACGCAACAACTTTCACTCAACCACGTTTTGTTTG